GCTGGCAATATGCCAAACTCCCATGATGGCCAAAACCGAAAACCATAGCAAAGTGATGGGGCCAAAGAATTTACCTATGCCGCCAGTTCCTCTTTTTTGCACCCAAAATAGACCAAACAACACCACCAAAGTTATGGGGATGACATACTCAGACAAAGCAGGCGATATCACTTGCAAACCCTCTACTGCGCCCAGCACGGAAATAGCCGGGGTAATAACCCCGTCACCATAGAACAAGCAAGCCCCAAAAATACCCATCAACAGTAAATTGCGCCGCAGCTTGGGATGGCGTTTGACTGATACCGAGGCCAGCGTCAGCATAGCCACCAAGCCGCCCTCGCCATTGTTATCAGCACGCAAAATCAAGGTCACATATTTAAACGATACGATAATGGTCAGCGTCCAAAACAACATAGACAAAATACCGTAAACGTTATCTTGATTCAGGGCCACATAGCCTGAACCAAATATTTCTTTGATGGCATAAAGCACACTAGTGCCTATGTCGCCATAAACCACACCCACCGCACCAATAATCAGCGCAGCTAGAGAACTTTTGGAGGTTTGCATGAAATTATTACTTTAATAAAATGAAAATCATTAATAAAATGGAAAAATACGTAACGTATTTTAACTATTGAAGAAATAGCTTAAACACAGGGTTATTAGTTTCTTCAACGTAGGGATAGCCTAACTTCTTTAAAAACGCATTAAAAGCTTTGTAGTCCTTGGGGGGCACTTGCAAGCCGACCAGAATGCGCCCATAGTCCGCCCCTTGGTTGCGATAATGAAAGAGGCTGATATTCCAATTGGGTTGCAGCGCATTCAAGAATTTCAAAAGTGCTCCAGGTCGCTCGGGAAATTCAAAACGCAAAACCCTCTCTTCTTGCGCATGGCCAGACTTGCCCCCCACCATATGACGGATATGCTCCTTAGCCAGCTCATCATGGGTCAAATCCAGAGCGGCAAAGCCATGCGAGCCAAAAATTTTGGCAATTTTTGTGGACTCGCCTTTTACGGTGCTCACACCTACAAATACGTGTGCTTTGGCGCCATCGCCCATGCGGTAGTTGAACTCAGTAATGTTGCGCGCCCCACCAGGCAAATTGCCCAATAGTTCGCAAAAGCGGCGAAAACTGCCCCGCTCTTCTGGCATTGTCACTGCAAACAAGGCTTCGCGCTCCTGCCCCACATCTGCGCGCTCTGCAACAAATCGCAAGCGATCAAAATTCATATTCGCACCACACAAAATGGCCGCATAGCTCTCGTTTTTCTTCTTATGACGCGCTATGTATTTTTTAATGGCAGCGACTGCCAAAGCGCCAGCAGGCTCAACTACGCTGCGCGTGTCTATGAATATGTCTTTGATTGCCGCGCAGGCTTCATCGGTATTGACTTCAATAAACTCATCTACCAAAGTTTGCGCCAAGCGAAAAGTCTCTTTGCCCACTTGTTTGACAGCAGTGCCGTCGCTAAACAAACCCACATCGCTCAACACCACGCGCTCACCTTGGCCCACGGACTGCACCATAGCGTTAGAGTCGTTCATCTGCACCCCTATGACCTTGATGTGCGGCGCTACAGCCTTGATATAGCTCGCCACCCCGGCGATAAGCCCGCCCCCTCCGATAGCCACAAAGATGGCATCTAATTTTTTCAGCGCTGGCGCGGGCAGTTTTTGCACTTGTCGCAGCACCTCCATCGCT